TGTAAATAAAAGACACTTTTAAGGGGACAGTTCACCTAATTCCTGTTTAATTTCTTTTTTAATTCTGTTATAATTTACTTACCCTGTCAACTTGTTTGTGTTTCTTTCTTTGCCTAACAAAAGAGAATGTTTGGAAGAATCTTAGAATAGACTTCTATATTACTTTATCACTTATTTTGGTATATTCTTCAAAAAAAATTTATTTTAAGTTTAAAATTTAACCTATCATATGCAAAAGACCAAAAAACTAGCTTTGCAACTACAGGTACATGAGGGTTAGTAATTGGTGACAGAATTTATATTTTTTTGGGTGAACTGTGGCTTTAAGTGTCTCTTTGCACAGCCAGATGGTCAGTCCGGTCAGGCATCGATGCTGAAAGACTCTCTCGTGTCTGCTGCTCCTTCTCAAACACTAAAAACTACTTCTAATGTAAACAAACCAGCAAAAGTCAGCACTTCTGCCCTTCTCCTGGCCTTTTTTTCCTTGAGCTACACACTAACATTAGTAAGTTCAAATGCTTTAATCTGTCAGAAACGCCTCTTCTCTTAAAGCATTTATGGACTAGAAATGGCTTTAATAGCAGACGAAAATGCTGCAGTTTGTGTTTGACCTTTATGTTTTCCCTTTTCATACTCTACACAGGGGCCTGAAAGGCTTGATTTGGGTCGAATATGTTGCTTGTCTGCTGGCTGACCTCATTATGTGAGCATCATTAAAAGCTTTCCTGAGGTTTTATGATTGAGAGGTTCAGTACAGCATACATTCTGCTTGCTGGAGTGACCGCTTACATCAGTTCTGTCTGTGTTTATGCATCAATCCTTTTTGTTGTTGTTGTTGTTTTTGTTTAAACCAACTCAATGGGATAGTTCAGTCAGCAATGAAACCTCTGTCATCATTTGCTCATCCTCCACTTGTTTCAAACATGTCTCTGACATTCTTTCTTCTGTTAAACACAAAGGAAGATTTAGGGCACGTGTCCACCGTAGCATTTTTTGCAATGCAGTCGCGAGTGCGACCCGCTCAAGCTTTAAGCACTTCTCCAATTCAAAGCTTTTATAAAACACAGAGCACTCAGCACTAAGTGTAAAATGCATGCTTTCATTGATCACAACAGAATAAAAACCCCCCACTCGTGTTTCTGCAGTGCAAAAAATCTTCAGTGGACTCACTTGCATGCTGAAGAAATCAGCAACCTTTGACTTCCATATAATTTTTTTGTTCCTACTATGAATGAACTATGATTTTTCTTTACAGTCTTCTTTAGAGAATATTGTTTTGTGTTCAACAGAAGAAAGGAAGTCTTGTAATTTTGGAACCACTTGAGTGTGAGCAAATGATGAGGAAATGAATATGTTGGGGTGAACTTTAACTTTAAGATCTACACATTTGGATCTGATACCATAACATTTGTGCTAGTTGAGCTGACTACTGATAGATAGGTAGAATGTAAACATCACAATGCAGTCTGATGTGAAATGTACAGCATATGTGACATTTTTGAAAAGAAAAAAGTTTTCTTCTGCATGTTTCACAGCAAATTACAGTATTGACATCAGTGTGCAATATGTAGAAATGACCTCTATATGCCTGACATCTTAGGGAAAACAAACACAATTCAAATTGAAATAACATGAATTAAAAAAGAAGCAGCTATTGTAGATGTCTGGAGTAGTTAATTCATCTGAAATTTACATAAATACTGTATATGTTGCGCTGTATCAGGTCAGCTACCAAGCAAGTTTAGCAGTTATTCATATGGAGATACAGTGGCTACATAATGCTAAAAATAGCACCCCCCCACACTTTATTGTTGTAAGACAGCTTAACGGGCATGGTGTGACATGTCAGCACCAATGTTATTAAAACAATTAGATGTATTAATTTACAGATCATGCACTGTGGTGAAAGTGCTTTTAGATGATAGCTTAATATCATGTTGGCGTTTCTGTGTGGAGTTTGCATGTTCTCCATGTGTTCGCGTTGGTTTCATCCAGGAGCTCCGGTTCCCCCACAGTCCAAAGACATGCAGTATAGGTGAATCGAATAAATTGGCCATAGTGTGTGTGTGAATGTGAGAGTATATTGGGGTTCTCCAGTGCTGGGTTGCGGCTGGAAAGGCATCCACAGTGCAAAACATATGCTGTATAAGTTGGTGGTTCATTCTGCTGTGGCGACCCCTGATTAGTAAAGGGACTAAGCCAAAAAGAAAATGAATGGACGAATAAATTAATTAATCTTCGTTAAACCTAGGCATTATAATAATTTCTTGTGCCGTAATGCTTTTAAACACTCTTTTCCTGAAAAAACAAACAAACAACACCATGGTCCATGAGTTAATTATATGTGTAAAAAAGAGCAACCTGAAATTCAGTAAATAAAGAAATACCATAATTTACATACAATGTAATCTCTCTAAGCATATTTCACCTCTGACTGTACATTTTCTGTAAATCTAAAAGTATAACATTTTAGTATGAGTTTGCAGGGGTGGATTTGGCACTCCAAGTTTTTTCAATAAGTTGAATAAATCATTCATGCTTGAAGACTCACGGCTGAGGTTGAATTGCATTTATTTGCACTTCAAACCCCAGAAAAAAATATTGCATGGAATCCTTGAAAAAAAAAGCAAGTGCAAAAGACTGTGATGTTGTATGTTTTGAGAAGAAAATGGACTCCAAATGCAAATGAGTGTGATATTACAGGTGGGCTGAGAGAGAAAAATGACTTTAGGTTTTTTTTTTTTTTTGGGAATTTAAATTTTTACTCAACTCATTTTGCCTGAAACTGCTGAAGCAACGAAGAGCTGTTTGTGAGTGTTTTGAGCTCATAACTGCAGCTTAGACTAATACAGTAGGGTATGAATGTTTGAGATTATGAAATACATTGTTAAGTTTGTGTGGCATTGCAAATGACCAATTAAGTGTGAAAAATTAGTCATTAAGTAGTGGGTTAATGAGAGCAAATTGTGTTTTCGCCATGTTCTGTTAGTAAACTATTGATTTTTCTTTACTCTCTCTTCTTCCTGTGCATTTATCTGGGCAGTCTGTCTGGCTAAATCGGCTATTTGTGATTTTCAAGCTTTTAATGAGAGGTGCATTTACAAATCCATTGACATTTCTGTAGGCAAATTTAAATACTTCTTTATTTAATTGGCCAGATATTGTTTATTTGTAAAGTAAAACATCCCTTTCTGTTGTTCTGGGTATTTCTAAAGAAATTTGTCAACTAAGAAATACTAATAAAGTTAAAGTTAAATTCATTTAAAAAATCCTGCAATTGAATGAATATACATTTTTAAATGCACTAATCCTTTTTAATCATCTCACAAAAGGTTTTGTATATTGAGTTTTATTTTTCTTGTAAGGGGACATTTTTTCAAAAATGTTTTCATTGGTTTTAAATGTATGTATTCATGCACTGTATGTATGTAAGTCTACTTTGTAAGCAGCATAGTGGCTCAGTGGTTAGCACTGTCGCCTCACAGCAAAAAGGTTCCCCCACAGACCAAAGCCATACGATTTTAGGGAACTGGGTAAAGAAATGTGTGCGTGAATGGGAGAATGCGTTGGTGTTCCCAGCACTGGGGGTTCATGAGTTAGTGTACTTTTCGGCTGGAAGGGCATTTGTCACATACAACATATTCTAGAGTAATTGGTTGTTCGTTGAGAGGGGTCTGGCTGCAGACTCAGTGCAGTGCATTCTGAGCTGCATCCATTGCTTTTTAATGAACTCACCTAACCTCACCTCTAACCCTATCAGTCACAGTGACATCAGTTTAGACAGTTTAGTAAATACAGACAGTACTATTTCTAAGCCAAAAACACAGTTTGCACTGGTGCAAGACCATTACATATGGGATATTGTGACATACAGTTAGGTCCATAAATATTTCGACATTGACACAATTCAGTGTCACAAAAGTTTGCCTCTATACACCAACACAGTGGATTTAAAATGAAACGAAAAAGATGTGCTTTAACTGCAGGCTGTCAGCTTTAATTTGTACATTCAAATCAGGTGAACGCTGTAGGAATTACAAGTTTACATATGTGCCTCTCACTTGTTAAGGCCCAAAAGTAATTGGACATAATAATAATCATAAATCAAACTTTCACTTTTTAATATCTGGTTGCAAACCATTTGCTGTCAATTACATTCTGAAGTGTCGAACGCATAGACCTCACCAGAAGCTGGTTTCAGGGTTCAGCTAGGTTTCATCACCAGACGCAGCTGCTTCAGTTTTGTCTTCAGAAAGTGAAATGCATGCTCAATCGGATTCAGATCAGGTGACTGACTTGGCCATTGCATAAAATTGCAGTTTTTTCCCTTCAAAATCTCTTTGGTTGCTTTTGCAGGATGCTTTGGGTCATTCTTCATCTGCATTATGAAGCACCGTCCAATGAGTTTTGAAGCAGTGGGCTTAATATGAGAAGACAATATTGCCTGAAAGAATTCATCCTGCTGCATTTGTCAGCAGTCACATTATCAGTACATACAAGAGAATCAGGTCCTTTCATAGTCATACATGCCCACGCCATGTCACTATGACACCATGCTTCACTGCTTTGGATCATAAGCAGATCCTTTCCTTCTCCATACTCTACTCTACACAAGTCCATTGTGTTAGTGTATCGAGCCAAATATGTTAAAATTGTGTCGATGTTCAAATATTTATAGACCTAACTGCATATGTTACTATTAGAAAATGCAGGATTACAATTAAGGCACTTAAGTGAGTTCATAAACAGTGCTTAACTTTGCAGATGTTTTTACATGCTCATTATGCACTAAAGAACTGAAAGTGCAAGAAGTGTAATGGGACCCTTTTAAAATTCTCTGCTTTCCACCTCAGCATGAAATTCAATGAACTAAATAGCTATGCTTGGCTGATTTCCTTTAGTTCATCCATCCTTTTCTTTAGTCCAACTGTAAACTACAAATCCAGACAATAAATAAACCCCTCCCCTATTGATCATGTGTTATTTTCTTTGTCTTTCAGAGGGATGCCAAAGGCCAGTATTTGTTCGACCTCATCTGCCACCATCTAAACCTGCTGGAGAAGGACTATTTTGGCATTAGATATGTCGATCCGGATAAGCAACGGGTGAGTGTCCCACCATGTGGCTTGTGTGGAACAGTTCAAGGTCAACAGTAATGCAGTGCAGCAATTCATCATCTCTGCATTCATGTCCACTTCTTCTTTATTATGAGAAAGCTGCGTCTGTTGGGTCACTCAAAGTGGATTTCATTTCCTAGAGCGTATTGGTTAGGTACTGATGCCTTATAAGTGATGAATTGATGTGTGTGTTTTGGGTTGGTTGTGTTTGTATTGATCCTGCACTGGTCAGACTGACTCTCAGGGTTATTCTGGAGAAATCAGAGAGTGACATAGAAGACGACAGAGCTGAGGATTGATGGAATGAACCTTCTAGAAGGACGGCTTTGAATGCTGTAAATCATGTACGGGCAGGCCTTTATACCCTTATGTGCTTCAGATTTTTTTTTTTTTTTTTTTAAAGGGACAGTACACTTAAAAATAAACATTGTATCCAGTTTGTTACAAACATGTATAATGCATGTTCTTGTGCATTAAACAAAGCATAGCACCTTTTTGCCCAAGACAAGTTTTCTCTCGGGGACAAATAAAGTTTATTCTATGGGCATAATAAAGAGATAATCGGTCTCTACATCCAAAAAGTGAAAATTCTGGGTCCCACTTTATATTAAGTGGCTTTAAGTACTATGTACTTGCATAAAAATAAGTACAATGCATTTACTGTTTTCATAATGTATTGCAGAAAACTTCTGGTGCTCTTGAGGTGGGATACGGGTAGGGTAGGGTCAGCTTTTGTGGTATAGTAGGTTTGAGGGTGGGTTAAGGTGTATGCTATGATCAAAAGTGTAATTAAAACTTAATTACATAAATTTACATTCAGGTATTTAGTCAATCATACAATTTTAAAACAGGTATTTACACAATAAGTACTTTATATAAATTATTAATTTTGAGTGTATATATTAGTTAAGTCCACTTAATTTAATCCACCTATAAATAAAATATTATTGAAATTCTGCCATATTTTTTTTTCTTTTACTTGTTTCAAACCTGTTTGAGTGTAGAAAGCAAAAGAATAGATTTTGAATAATGCTGAAAAAACAACAACATTTATTGATTTATATAGTACTTTTTCCAGCTTTCTTCAGAATATCTTGTTTTGTGTTCAACAGAAGAAAAAAACACTTAAAAGTTTAGGACCACTGGAGTGTGAGTAAATGATGAGAATTTTTGGGGTGAATTATCCATTTAATTTCAAACTAGGCTTATAAAATCCTTGTGTTTTTGGTCACATTTCGCAAAAAAAAGTGAAGTAGCACTTTAAAACATGCTATGTTTTCTCGGAAACAGATTCATGCACATGCTTTATCATGGCAGTTTGAAAATAAAATGATATGAGTGGTAGTGAAAGGTCATTAATCTTTCATGATTGAAAGTAGCAAATATTTAAACTGTTCTCTGAAATTAATTAATATTGTTTAAAATATGCGCAATTTAATACAATGCTGCAGTACTTTAAGTAGTTTTTACTTGCTTTCAGCACTTTGGTGTTTTTGTACATATTTATGCAATTATTAAATAGTTTACTTTTACTATGGTACAAGTGTTTAGAAGCCATGAAATTTGATTTTTGGCATTTTAGGGAAGTATGCAGAAGTGAGTCTTCATTAATTGATAATCTGCCCAGTATTCATAATTTCAGAAATGTGATTTAAGATCTTGGTGTTTATAAAATTTGCTAACTGTATTTATATGTCTGTTTTTGGAATTTTCTTAAATGTTTGTGGAGTAACATTTTTTTTCCAGTGATTCTAGGTAGACTAATTAAAGTGCAGAGATTTGGGGGCTAAAGTTTGATAGGAGTCTATTTTTTTTATTAGATTGTATTTATAGATTTTTTTTTCTCTCTATTTTCTTATCTCAACAGCACAAAGTGCACAGAATCAGATCTTTTTCAATTCTGATTTGGGCCACTTTCTTATATGATCCCATATCCAATACAGTATATAAATCCAAAATTCATGTAGTTTATTTGCATGACTTTAAAAGTCCTTCATAAAATCTGTGCTGACAGGAGGAGTCACTCCTACTTAACACACAGTTGCTCTTTGGTCAGTCTGAATATATTGAACATGCCATACAATTATAGAGGTGGTCAGTTTAAGGACAGTGCGGTGTCCCAGTGTGATTACAGATATACAAGCTAAACTTAAGGAGTCCTGTTGTATTTTTTTTCTTTGTTGTCCATTTCTTTATATTCATCCTTTTTTTACCAATGCACAAATGTGCACATTCACATTCATTTATAACTAATATTATAAATAGTCTAAAAAATAATAGTCTAAATAAATAATAGTTTTAGTTCGCTTTATTAACAGTAACAACTCTTCTTCAAATGTTAAACAAGACCTTTATATATTGTTAAAATATTACATTGTTAGGCTAATTATTTAATATTCATAATAAGGTCTTTACTGTCAGAGTTGGCAAGGAGGACCCAAACGCAGAATAAACAGGAGAACAGGGTTTAATTACAGGAGGGACACAAAGCAATGCAGAAGGACAGTCCACACAATAGTGCAGGGTGACAACAGGAGAACAGGCTGGTGAGGGATGGAGACTCAGGACTTCAGAATGATACAGATGGGAGAGTCCGGGTGAAACAGGCTGGTCAGGAAAGGGGGAATTCTAAACTTCAGGCCAAGCAGTCAGTAAGTAGCTAGCAGAACCTCAAGTTTGGGACAGGGTCAGCAAACAGATGGGACGCCACGCCAAGGGGATGCACAAGCGGAGACTCAGGAGGCAAGTGACAAGCAACACAACAGGACTAGACAGCTGGGGAGACAAGAAAATCTTAAAAGAAAAGCAAGCAAAAACAAACTAGAACCCTGTAAAAACAAGAAACATTTAAGAGGGAAATAATAAAGCTTGAGAAATAAAATGAAACAAAAGGGACTAAATAAAACTACTAAAACTTCAAACAAAAGGCCAAAAGGAATGAGCTGTAGCTAGAACTAAAATAGAAAGCAAAACACAGCAAAAAGAACTACAATAAAGAACTAACAAAAGACTAGGACTAGACTGGGACTGAGGATCACGAAAGTGGCTAAATAAAAATGAAAATAAAAATGAAAGTAACCTTGCTGAGAGAAGATAAAAAAAAACAAATCAAAAGGCTAAATGAATTCGAGATAAAGATTAAAAAGATTAGTACTAAACTAAGACTAGACAAAATAAACAAAACTACACTATATAAACAACTCCTATCAAGCAGTAACAAGACTAGACAAGAACACAAAAAGATAATGTGACAAACCGGCAAGGAAAAGGGGAAAATGAACACATTGGCTGTTTCTCAATATGCGGTCTTCAGTGTTCTTGTGTCCTCGTGTTCTCGTGTAACGTCATCATCAACAAGTTCAGTTCCAAAAACCAAGAACGGAGGACACGTGAAAGTTCCCGGAGGTGTTCTTGATATTGAGGATGCATCGATGCAGTAATAAATAATAAAAAACTTTATGTTAAAGTTCAGAGAGACATAACTTACCTCAGGAGTTTACCTAAATAAAACAGTATATATAAAATCAAGGAGGCAGGACAAGGGTGCACATGGCCAACACAACAAAAGAGACAGTGCTAAAAAAACAAAACAAACAAAGAGACATTAAACACAGACAGGAGTGACAGGGCTGTGAAGGTTGGCATGTAAAGTCAACAACATTTTATACATTTTACCCTGCTCAAATAATAGTAATAATGCAACTGAAAACAAACAAACAATATTCAGACAAAGCCAAGTAAAAATATTTAATTGATGTTTCAATAAAATCCAAAATACTACACATCAATTATGGACAAATAAATAGACAAAATTACAAATCTGAGCTGGAGACCTTCAATTGACTAGGAAGTGACTTAATATATATATAATTTTGTTAATTAAATAAATTGTTATTTAAAAAGATAAAAACCTAAACAAAAATTCTAATTGGAAATGTGTGTAGCTCCCTGCAAGAATATACTGTTTATTTTGACAATTAGAGATCAGTTCTGATCTCTGTCCGCCAAATGCAAACTTGACAGCGCACAGGCTTTGCATACACATATTCCAGAGTTTCTTCATGTCTGTCTTTTTCACTGACCCCCTTTGGGAGCCTTTTGGATTGAGTGACATAAATAATAATGAGGACATCAAGCTGATGCTAGTCTACTGCAGATGACACACAAGGACAACACTACACTCAACACAGTTCCCTTTAGATTATTCTTAGTTGGCAAAATATGCCGTAGATTTGCAGACAATCCTGAAAAACGATAATGTGACAGGCCAAAAATATTGTCCAAATAGCTTTCAGATTAGAATCTGAAATCGAATCCAGCCTCATGCTATTTCTAGACTATTATTAGCCTACTGGCACTAAGACCCAAATATACTTTCTTTCTCAAAACCGATGGCTCGGTTTGACTGATTTGGCTTATCTGGAGCTGCACACAATAGCACTGATAGAATCTCAGCGTGACGTGGAAGATGTGCTAATGTTTCGCTCCGAAGAAGAGAGAAATTAGATGAAATGATTAATCTATCTACCCTGCCCCCATCTCACACTCATACTGATATAAAATCTCTGTACATCTTCCCACACTGACCACCTGCTCCTGTGTAATTATGTGTTAGATGAAATATAGTTATAATATATATGTGTGTGTGTGTGTGTGTGTGTGTGTGTATGTGTGTGTGTGCGTGTGCTCTGTCTATGTATGTGTGTGTGTGTGGAATTAAAATTCTTTCTTCTTTTGTTTTAGCATTGGCTGGAGTTCACCAAGTCAATTTCGAAGCAGATGAAATGTAAGTATCATCCGTCAAATCTTATTTATAGTGCGCTAGTCGACATAATGGAGCAATTAGGAACAACATCACTATGGTGACTGTAATGAAGCATGCTAATGGGATTCATGGCTATCGTACATTAACAACTGCTGTGATCTCTAAAAGGAGCTGCCATTTGTTGAAGTGCTGACCTTTGCATGTGTTTAATAGCCTGTCCTGTGAAGATATGTGATGTAAATCGTGTACTTAAAGGGTCAGTGCACCCCACAATAATAATTCTGACATCTTTTAATCTCCCGCATGTAATTTTTAACCCGTAAAACCGTGTTCTTCTTCAGATCTGAGAAATTTCTATCCATGCATTGAAATTCTTTTCAGCTAAAATGATCGCTATTCAAAATGTTTATAAAACGAGAGCGAGAGAGAGAGAGAGAGAGAGAGAGAGAGAGAGAGAGAACAAAAGCAATGTGCACTTTAATACAAAATTTAAAAGGAGAAAAATCACTTTATAAAATAAACAAATACATTTTTAGCTTTGGTTTATAAACTAGAGCCATGGTGAAAATGTTTTTGAGAAATTGATTCTGCATCGATTCTGAGATTTTCAAAATGCATCGCTATAGTCTTATATAGCTATAGTCTTTTCAATTGATTATGAGCTTAGTTTTTAACAGCACTCTTTCCTCTAGGTTAGTTATTTATAAGTGAGCCTGTGCGATTTATCGAAATTGAATCGCAATTTGAAAGGTTTGAGACTGCCGGCTGTGTGTGACAGTCTTACTAACCAATTGAGTGAGCACACTTTTATTCTGCCCAATCAGAGTTGCGCAAACAAATTATGCCTACAATAAAAAAAAGAAAACGAACAGGAAAGCACTGACAAGTGGGAGTATGGCGTCTGCTACTTCAGAAGCATTAATAGACAAATTAATATCAAAGAAAAACCGCATAATAATAATCAGTAATATGGGAATATCTTGGTATCAATGTCACAGACACCAAACAAAAACAGGTTATTTTTAAGAGCTATATCGAACGATCTGTAATAAAAACAAAGCAATATTAAAGGTGCAGTAGGTGATACACAATGCTAACAGCTTAGCATAAATCTCTGAATCACAGTCACTCCCCTGCCGTCCAGAGTTGCATGGTTAACAATAGGGAGAGACTATGCAGAATAGCGGTATTTACTTGTGTTTTGTTGTTAAACTAATTAAAATCTACATTATCGATTCTGTAAAAGGTGCCTCATGAAAATAGTCTTATCAATCTTTCACTGAAAGATTTTAGTGGCTGAACAACAATTATGTGCAGATATAACCCATTTGTAACAACAACATCCAACGTTACATCAGCTTTGCATGAAGCTAGAATAGTTTTAAAACAAAACATTACCTGTCTAAGAGAAATCCTTCAGCCATGGTGTCATCCTTTCTCCAGTGTGCAAAGTTAACTCCAATATTGATTCAGGTTTTTAAAACTTTTTGATTCAGCATGTTTTTGCCGATTACGCACGCACGTTACTTTTTAATGTATGAATAAGTAGGAAGGCAAGGAAGAAAGAGTTCTTTCACAACCTGGAATTGCCCAGGACTACATCATTATCTGTGTAACGCATTAGCCTCTTTCATTATTTATCAACTGCAGATGCGAATTAGTGGGCTATGCTAAGGAGATAGTGATATAGAATAAGGCCTTGATGATGTTCTGTAGAGTTTAATTATAGATAATAAGTGACACATTCCACAAACTGTCATACTGGCTGATTGGCTTCAATATAAAATGTTTTTACATTAACAACAAAGTTATGAGTTCTAAAACTTACAGTTCACGACCCCTTTAAATGTGGTAACATAAGTCAAGTATATTTTAAAATAAGTCCTTCTCTTCAGAAGATTTCAATTAAATGTCTTGATTTATGTGGATTTATTTATTTTTCTCATTGTGAATTGATCAGAATTTTAAATCTCTTAGATTTGATCATCATTTGTGTTTGAAGGTCTAACAGCTTTGAAATAAGATGAAGGTCAGTAAATAACGACAAAACGTAGATTTTGAGGTGAAGTAACTCTTCAAGTCCTCATTAAATATGATAAATGCTATGCTAATTGCATTAGGGTCCAGCTCAACATATGATAACCTTTCAGTAACTGTTGGCCATTGGTTGCTTTATAAGCTCAACATGCTCAATAAAGTAGATTTAGATTTTGTATGTTATTGTTGTCATCTTTCATCAGCTGGATAAAAATAATTCATATAGTCCTGATCTCACACAAGGCGCACAGTGCAAAAACAAATCATTTTCTTAAGCATGTATCATCTTTCAGGATTATCTGAAGCAAAACTTTGTGAGATAATATTTCTATTATTTAAATCTGGTACATTGTGTTCAGATTTCAGTAATGTTTAAGAAAATTGTTGTTTTCATACCTAAGCAAGGTACTTTGCATTTGTCTTTAGCAAACCTTTGTGTAATAAGATTTTGTACTTTTTAAAACTTGTACTGTATGTTCTGTTTTATACTTTAAAGTAAAAAAAAATAATAATAATTGCACTTGCTACTCAAAAGCTTGAAAAACATAATAATTTTTTTAAGCCTTAGAAATAGACCAAAGGGGGATAAAAAAAAAAAAAATAGAGAACATAAATTTGCAGGAAAAAATATTTAATTCTAGTTCAAACAACAGTTCCTTTGGATTAATCTTTAGAAAATACTTTTATGTGATATTGCATTTATACAGCAGTTTAATGACATAAGTGTGCAAAAAAATATAATCACAGAGTCTCTCAATCGAGTAACTACTTCCATCATGAATTCAAATCATGTACAGTAGCAGCTGGGCAAGATTGGTTGCTAATTCAAAAGTACATATTACAGTAGATTAAAGACAATTGTCAGATTATTACAGTATATTGAAATAATGTAAATAATTTCATTCAGCCTCTTGTTTATACTTGTTTGATCATGGTATTACCATGTATTCTTTGTAGTACGATATTTTAAATCAGTTCATTTTCTCCATACAGCACAACCTCCTTTTACCATGTGTCTGCGTGTGAAGTTCTACCCACCAGATCCTGCTGCTCTAAAGGAGGAGATCACCAGGTATGAGCTACCACAATGAAACCATTGATTAAGCATTGCAAACCAAATGGAAACAGATGTTTAGCAGCATTAGAGAGCAATCCAGTTTTGCTCTGTTAGAGGTGCTTTGAAACTGCATGTGGGATTTAGTTGCCAATATGGCCAGCTTGTTTTTGATGAAGGCAGTAATTTCATATGTATTTTTGTAGGCCAAGCTGAATGTTTGTATTATCCTCAACAATGACCCAAAATAATTTTCAGGTTATTGCAGAACATTTGCTGTTTGACCAGCAGTTGTATATAGGGATGTAACGGTATTGTAAATACCGTCATACCGCAATATTAAATTTTTTCGATATTACCGAAGTCGCATGACTCGGTAAAACTATAGGTCTTCTGAGAAAATTTGCTTAGGCGAATGAAGCAAACGGGAGGTAGCTGAAACTTCATTTCCCATCAGCCCCGGCGTGGCCATAATCCTTTGCGGTCTGTTGTCGCTACAGATCCAGTAATGCGGAAATGGAGTGTGCTGCTAGTAGCGGAGATGAAAAAAAGATGGAAATGATGGAACCTAAAGCGGGTGTTGTCGCCGCGCGCGTGCTGAATAGCGGTGCTGTCGCGCGCGTTCTGATCAGCTGTGTTGTGGCGCGCGTATTGAAAAAGCGCCGAGGGGGGGTTGAGCGCGCATACTCAAGAGAGGTGTTATCGCGCGCCTACTGAAGGGCTGGACTGGACGGAGGTTGTGTCGCGTCGCGGGGGCACTTTTGATCGTTTTGGAAGGGCATTTTCTATCCAAGACTAAAAAGGGCATGTGCACTGCACAGGTTGAGCCCTATGTGTGCACGTGCCTGCAAGTTGGGGAATACGACTAATAACAGTCATGGGGACTGCAGAAACACAGCACACTGTTCATATTGATGCAGACATTGACTTGTACCGCAAAGAGACCTCTATCTCACTCATGGTTTGTCTTCTCAAGTGGGGGAAAGACAATGCACAACGTTACCCCACTGCTGTCAACATGGACCAAGTCATATCTCTCTTGTCCCAGAAACCTCAGTCCCAAATGAGAGGGGTTTTTTCTGTTGCAGGGGACATTGTAAATGCCCAGAGATACCAGCTTTTACCAGATTATAATTATATGATAATTTTCCTTTAAACCCATCTCTATCTAAGTGAGTGATTAAATGTTGAATGTGATGAGTTTTCAACAATACTAAATTGAAACTTTATTTTTTTTACATGGTTTAATATTTTTTTGTTATTAAAATTGAAGTTCCTGTTTCAAAGCTTACAGATAGATGACTAATTTGTATGTCATTGACACTTTTGGCACTTTTTTGGAGTATTTTCAAAAGTTTTTTTTTTCCTGTAAATGATTCAATAAATACCGTACCGTGACATTCATACCGAGGTATTACCGTACCGTGAAATTCTGATACCGTTACATCCCTAGTTGTATATCATTGTTATGATTGTTTTGTTCATTATGATCATCTGTAGATTCACAAAATCTAATCTCTATGCTTTTGTATCTGTTTTTACATTTAGAAGTTGAGTATTGGTACCATAAATGTGCATATTGTTGCACGAAATACATAAAATACATACATATTAGTATCTAAGTGGCACACCCTTTTATTCTGAGAGTGCACACAGTAGGAACAATATATACAATGATAGCATGACTTCAAACTTGACTACTTCAAAGCATTTCCCCCTAAAGGTTGACATTGTTAAAAGTGTTACAAAGAAAGAGAAGCTGCACTTTTGAACATTCACTGTGGTTTTACATTATTGTATAAATGTTTTTTTTAATTATTATTTGTATCAAAGTTGATATTGATTTGTATATTAAATTTAGTTGAACAAATACTTGAATAATTTAAATTTTTAACAAAATCGTAACAAAAACTATATGCTTACTATTGCAAAACCTTAATTCTTTGATACCATACAATAATACAGTAACCATGTTATTCAATTATTTTTAGTAAATCCATAGTTGATTTTCTTAAGGATGCATAGGTTGATTAGAGAATAGATAAGTTTGTTTGGTGTGATATTTAGAGACTTTAAAAGGTTTAATACATGTTATGCTCAAAACACACCCTTAACTCATTAAGAGAATAAACCCTGTAAGACCATACGCCAGGGTGCAAAGTGTATTTTTCCATCCTTAAATTAGCAAAAATGGATTCGGACATGCCCTTAATGCTTTTGCGCTGTGCGCTTTAGACTTTGCACCTAGATCGTTAAAACAGAGCCCTTAATGTCACTTTAACTTCTGCAGTCTCAATTAGCCACTTTCTAGCAACCACCTTTTTCAAAACAAACACAGGCTTTTTAAAAAATCAGGCTATTACTGATGCATTTTATACTTTAGATTTAAATGTGAATTTTTTTTTTACTGATTTTTAAACAAAAAGATAAAAAGAAGAAGAAAAACCTGAATATGCAAAAATGCCAGCACAGTTCAGGCCACAATTTGGCTTATTTAAATAGAAAGATATTAAAACACACAAAGCATGTGTCTAAACCACTCTTATTTTTCTGTTACTCTTAGGATTCAGTGCTGTTTTCTTACTCACCGCTAAGGGAACATGTGGTCAGTGGCTCCAAACAGACTTCTCTGAATGATACATGATTAGCCTCTAGCTAGCAAAGTCTTGGCTAGCATCACAGTGTCTCTCTCTCCACCTCTTTCATCCCCTCTCGATCAGTCTGCAATGAGGTCACCCAGAAATTCACACACTCGACCTGAAAAGAGATCTTATGATACTGTGCGCTTCTTATAGTCTAATGAGGGGCCATGCAAGTAAGTTGCAGGCATAAAATAGACCCACTTCTGAGAACATGAGCCTGAGGATGTGGGTGATTCTGATTAAAATTGTTGTGTTTTGATCCAAAGCAGTATAGATACTTTGGTTCATTAAAGGGACATGAAACCCCTCTCGTTTGGTTCAAGTCTACCTCAATTTTTTTTTTCTCAAAAAATGCTTCATGATGGGCATTGAGCTCTGGGCAGAGGTAGGAGTGGGCATGACCAGCAGAGCAGAGGAAAAAGAGGTTGTCAGTTGGCACACAAAATGAGACACAAAGCTGAGGAGATCCCTGATTTTATAGTTTAAAGTTAAAATGCAAAGAAATAAGCAGTCATTTATTGCACTGCTATACGTTATTTGTAATTTTTATATACACATAACTAAAATTTGTTTGTCTATATCATTATGAAGACTATCATGTTTATATAAACACTATAAATGAGGACGACTTTTTTCCTCCTCAATCGCGGGTCTGAATGCAGACACAGAGGATAGCAATGCAGCAGGTCTCTTGCCCTGTCTATTTCACCATTTGAACTGCTGGTAATCCAGAGGATTTTAAAAATAGGTGAACACGAATAGGCGATGCTTCTGAATGGTAACAAACTCAACTAATAAAAGACAGAAAGTGCATTCCAAATCGCATACTTATGCACACTGAAAACTCTAAAAAGATTAAGTGCACTTTAATTACCAGGATGATGCACTTATTCAACCGTTAAAATGAAGTGTGGAATGATGGACAGTTCACACACTCATCGGCTGCTGCTTTGTTCACGTAGCGGAAGGGGCGGTTATACTCAAGGCAGGTATTATTTGGTAGTTTGGTCATATATTTTACTAATTTGCCAACCATCAAACATCATCCAGAAAACGGTTTGAAATTCAGCTTAGTAAAAAACCATTAGTGTTCCAAATTGGGATCACACTACATACATATACTATGCTGTTGAGTGTGTGAGTGCAAAAGTCCATAAGTACATAAGTACAAGTGCATAGTGTATAGTGTGCCATTTTGAGACATTCTCCAATTCTCGTACAGCTCTCCCGACAAAAATGCTTACTGCAAACCAACAGCTTTGCTGTATCGGCCCTGACAGCATCGCTTGGAAAAACATGCAACAAACCCCATGGATCATGGAAACAAACACATTTAACCCTTTATAAATGGCTTAATACTAATGTCATTGTGTGGACATGGTATTACAGCTTGGCAGGTCTGCTGTGCCTTTGGAAAGCACATGCTCTAATGAATAATTAAGAAGCAGGGTTTTCTCATACAATAAGAAAACTCTGCAATGAATAATTATGAAAAACCGACACTTCATCTCTGGACAGGCACTGATTTTGTTCCTGTCCCAAAAATGATTTTCATCCCGGAAGATGAAATTAGCTGACAAGAGCTCTAAATTATCCACCTTTCCCCACAATTAAAGCTGATAGGTGCTAACGTTGTCTTAACTCATGCTCATTGCTCAACACACACAAATCTGTTAAAATAAAAATAAAAAAGTACTCGAGAGTTTCTTGAAGCTTTAAGCTTTCACAGAAAACTTATAATGAGCATATACTAGTTGGTGGGCGGACTGTTGCAAGTCTTTTGGGGCTTTTTGAATGCATTAAACCACACAAGTGTTTACACTAAGAGACCGATTAGATCAAATGAGTTTCCAAATGCCCTTGGAAGTAGTGGAAAGTGGACGATTTCATGTTTAGTCCCTATTTACTCACATTTAGCATTATCCACCTGTGACTGGATTGATGAAAACACGCATTTCAGAACAATGACAGCAAGTCAGTCTCTGTTAAAATTTGCATTAATATGCAAGTGCATGTCAAAAAGATGAAGGTAGGTAGCAGGGTTTTTTATTTATTTATTTTTTTTTTTAGCTATCATTACACCCCATCTGTTTAGGCAGTAAATTTGTATTGGATTCTTCATTTGTTCATTAATTTTCCTTCGGCTTAGACTTTATTCATCAGGGGTCGCCACAGTGGAATGAACTTATCCAGCATATGTTTTACACAGCGGTTGTCATTTCAGCTTTAACCCAGTAGTGGCCAACACCCATATACTCTCATATGCAAACTCATACACTACGGCCAATTTAATTTATTCAATTCACTTATACCACATGTCTCTGGACTGTAAACCCACGTGGACAGAAAATACAAAATCCACACAGAAATGCCAGCTGGGACTCGAACCAGCGACCTTCTTCCTGTGAGGTAACAGTGCAAACCACTAAGCCATCATGCTGCCCGTATTGGTTTCCTATAAGGCATATAAAAAACAATTATTCATACTGGGAATTTTCCGAAAGAGCTTTCAGAAAGTTTGTTCATTACAGAAGCATCCTTGACTTCATTTAATTTAAAGTTAACTAATTTCTAATTCCACACCATTTACGCCACCTGGCAGAAATCTGCCTCTCTTTGCATGTTTGCATTGACTCTGTGTGCAATCTACTTTACTTTAATTGAACTCACACTGGGTATTGAACATAGCATAAGATCTCATAAAAAACTTTGATTATGGTTACTTGCATTATATCTGAATTTGTTGCCATTTTTGCTCCAAGACCTCCTAATTTTAAATCCTGCTTGTGGAAATCTGAAGTATGGGCACTACAATGAGTAGTCTAGGTATTGATTGATGTGTGGAGTAGTAGAGCACTGCTAGCATTTACTGTAGTGAAATGAAATGCTCGTGGGGAAGACAAAGTAATAACTCACGCTAAAATGAGAGGAGAAGCAGGAAAGAGAGATGAAACAAGAGGATGAACAGAGTTGAAGACAGGAAATTGCATGAGAGAGAGAGACAGGTAGAAAGACTAATGAGGGATATGGGTGAGAATTAGAGGGATTATCTGAAAGAAGAGGACATTGTTTACGGTATTAGGATGCATTTGCATTATTTCCTGAGGGAAAGAAATGCATCCACTTCAGTGAAGGGTATTACAGCTGATGAAATGTGTTGAGGGGAAAACATCTCTCAGAACTTTTTCTGCCAGTCATCATTTAACTTTAATTCCATACTGAGTTTTTGTCTTTGAAAATCATCAAATCCTAAAATGAGATTTTTACTCATCCATGTGCAAAATTGGCATTAGCATAATTTCCTGATATCCAAGTCAATCAAACCCAAGTTGCATCCTAGCAACCGGTGTTAATCACAAATGTACATAGCAAAGTGTCACAGATGCTAAATTTTTCAATGCCACATCACACATTATAAAGGAAGATATATCTAAATGATGACTAATGCAAAATTACAAGTTCCACTGTTTTCCACTGATTTTCATTTAAAAAAATGTTCTGATGGGGCGACGCAGTGGCGCAGTAGGTAGTGCTTTAGGTAGTGCTGTCTCAGCTGGGTCAGTAGGCGTTTCTGTGCGTAGTTTGCATGTTCTCTCTGTGTTTGTGTGGGTTTCCTCCGGGTGCTCTGGTTTCCCCCACAAGTCTAAAGACATGTGGTACAGGTGAATTGGGTAGGCTGAATTGTTCGTTGTGTATGAGTGTGAATGAGTGTGTATGGATGTTTTCCAGAGATGGGTTGCAGTTGGACGGGCATCCGCTGCGTATAACATGTGCTCCATAAGTTGGCAGTTCATTCCGCTGTGGAGACCTGGGATTAATAAAGGGACTAAGCCAAAAAGAAAAAGAATGAACAAATATTTTCTGATGGCTTTATAGTGAGAACAATTTTTTTTTCTTAAATAAAGTGACATCTTATTAATTCTCTGAAATCAACAGCTTAATTTAAAGTATGTGATTCATAACTTTTTATTTAGCCCCCTCTATTTAATTAAAAATTTATATTTATTATATAAACAAATATATAAATATATATTATATTGTATAGTTTTGTGAAAAGAAAGAACAGCTAATAATAAATGGTTTAAAGTTCCCAATTCACCTGCACCACATGTCTTTGGACTGTGGGGGAAACCGGAGCACCCGGAGGAAACCCATGCAAAGGCAGGGAGAACATGCAAACTCCACACAGAAACGCCAACTGAGCCGAGGTTCAAACCAGCGACCTTCTTGCTGTGAGGCGACAGCACTACCTACTGCGCCACTGCCTCGCCCACAATACAATACAATACAATACAATACAATTAGGCCTGTTTTGATTAAAATATTTTAATTGTAGGATTTAACTGTAAATATGCAAAATAATAAAAAAAAAGAATGCATGACGATCTAGTTTAGAGAAACCGAACCTCTAATTTTAGCACATTGTCTTAATATTCTTGTGATTATTATTTAAAAGTGAAAGTGCAGATTTTTGTTGTCATCCATTAGCTGCACTGCCTACACTGAGGTAGTTTTGGTTGATTGATGTCCAGTGGTCTCTAGCAAATGTGTTTTATTTCTAGTGTTTTATTTTTATCTTTTTAAAGTTCATAAAGTTCATGTAATCTCGTAACAATAGTTCACAAGAGAAATTTGAAATTTAAAGAAATAGTGTAATATGTGGCAAACACCCCTGTAATTAAAGTTTGCATGGGGTACTACATACGAGCAATTCCAGCGTTATGGGTGTGACATTTGCAGTAAATTCTTAAAACATAAATTCAAAGAGAAAGTATATGTTAACATTATATTGAAACATCTATTTGTATTTTCCAAAACAACTAACCACAGAGTTACGGTAGAAGAAAAACATCAATCTGTAAATATTTTTTTATATTTTAAATGAGGAATAATAAACGTGTTATGGATGTACAAACATACTTTGTATTCTGTGAATTAAACTGCTCAACCCAAAAAATAAAATAATAATAATAATAAAAAATACTGCTAATAAAAAATATAAGAGTCGGCTCACTATAGAACAAACATAGTTGATTTTATTTTATTTGACATTTTGTGCATTTATGAGAAAAAAGCTCTGTTATGGATGTCACATTTTTCTGTTATGGATGTGACAGATGTGAAATTGCCACTTGTGTGACTTTGGTAAATCAAAAATAATAGTTTGAAAACATTTACAGAAACCTTTTTGAGTAATTATAAACCACTGTAAAATGCTTGCTTACACAAAAAAACGCAGAAATAGTTTTAATATTTTGGTGAAAACTCTTTTTTTCCTTTAAGGCTGTCATTTGTATGGAAATGCTCATATACAGCTTGTGAATATGGAAAAGAAAGCAACCTTTCTGCTGCAGATTTTGCATATTGGCTCAACTAACTTCTAACATTTTTTTTTTTGTGTGTTCCAAAAAAGTGCCCTAAGGATGAGGTAACTTTTGGGTTTGACAAACCACCTGTAGGTGACACACTCTTACTCTCCATATGTTCTGTATCAGGTACCTTTTTATAAACACCCCATACTTCTTGGGAAACACTGTGTAATTCTGAGTGTGCTGTGAAAAAAACTTAGCATTTATATACTGATACTTTCTCATTGTTTTAATTTTTTCATTTGTCCTTAATTGCAGGTCATTTTAGATAAAAGTATCTGTCGTAAATGTAAATTTAAAATGTCTGTTAGTAGTATGTATCCAGTTTCTGTGTTTGTTGGATTACTGAAAAGTATCTTTGGTACAAATATTCCACAAAGCAAAAACAAGCATCTCAGTCCAATAATTTGCTGTTTAGCTGCTCCTACATTTGCCGTGTCCTTCTCCAGAACCAAATGACACCGACTCTTAGAGTGTGTTTCTATAAATGGCAGGTTAGGAATAAAGAAGGAAGCTGATATGTAGGCCAGAAATTGACTGGTGGCTACAGAAATTGCCATTTAGCTGCTGTCACCTAGAGAGAATTCAGGGAACATAATTGCATTTTTAGCTCCTATGGCCTCTTAAGTGAAAAGCTATTAGCTCTAGCTGGGCTGGCCTACTTTGAGAAGTTAAAGACAAGCATGTCGCTCTTTACTCACGGGACATCTGTTGGACACAAGGTGAGAAGAGCAACGTACCAGATTGGGACTGGATTGATTTATGAATAGAAAATGTGATCTTGGTGCACAAGCAAGCTCTTGTCTTTGTGTGAAAGAATGACATTGATGACAAAATGAAATATTTTAGTGCATAAAGCAGTCAGTGAGTAAATATGTTTAAATTATTTCATTCAATTAAAATTTAGTGTATGTGCTCATAACTTATTATGAATACACTACAGAACTTTCCCTACAGTTCTACAAAACTCCAAATAGTTTCAGGGAAACAGTTCTTATTGTTAACTAAATTTTTAGTAATTTTCTAGTGCATAATCTGTAAATGATCATATATGACATTGCAGCACAAATCATTCTCCATCTGGTGGACTTTTTTATAAGGTTTTTGTGAGTTCTCAACTACTAAAACTAGTCAAATCGAGCCTTATGCAGAGCATTGTTTTGCATCTTAAGTAAGATTTATCAAATATATTTGTTATAAAACCTTTTTTGATTTGTGTTATTTTTGTGTTTATGTCTGTCTTAAAGATGACAGAACAAATGCTACATGTAATCCAACCAGGACTATTGTAAATATATAATTTACTTTTGTGGTCATGACCAAACAAAACAAGAAAATCTAGTTAAAGTATAAAGTGTTTTTAACCACTACTGTCTTTTTCTCTCTTTTTTTAGCTTAATAGCTTTTGACACAGCAGTGCAATTCTCAAATCATTCTTTAATTCGAAAATAAAAATCTAATTTTAACCAAATCAACGAGAAATATTGAGCATTTTACATCTGTACTAATTCAGATCAATTCCTTTTACTTTTTGTCCTTCTTTACCAGACTTCCCTACTCAAAAATAGACTTTCAGTAATACTTTTATAGTTCAACAGAAATGTGGAGGATTATTATATATGTTTACTCTGCTTTATGTTTTGCCTTTGTGTGCTGTTTTCAGGTATCTCGTCTTCCTGCAGATTAAGAGAGATTTGTATCATGGTCGTCTCCTTTGCAAAACATCTGACGCGGCCATGTTGGCAGCTTACATCTTACAAGGTAAAGTAGAAGAAAATTTGACTAACCTATTGTAAACCTAGTCCTCGATATCAGGGGTCACCAATCTCATTTCTGGAGGTCCGGGGCCCTGCAGGGTTTAGCTCCAACTTGCCTCAACACACCTGCCTAGGTGTTTCAAGTAGTGAGACCTTGATTAGAGACCTAGTGAGACCTTGATTAGCTTGTTCAGGTGTGTTTGATTAGGGTTGGAGCTAAATTCTACTGGACAATTGACCTCCAGGAACAAGTTTGGTGATCCCTGCTGTATAGCATAGCACAGGCAAAATAAAGTTTTTAAGTTCCATTTTGAGTACATCCATTGTCTGCCATTTATCTAGGGCCAGGGCAGCAGTCTCAGTTGACGATCAGGGTTTGATGAGGCAAATGCTTTTTCCAAACCTATAAAGCACATGTGGACAGGACAGGCAAACTGACACAAACCCTCTAGCACCCTAGACAGGGTATAGAGCTAGTCCATTGTTCTAATACCCACACAAAAAATCACATTGGTACTCCTGAATCTAAGGATCTACTATCGACCTGATTCTCCTCTCTAGTAGCCTGGCATAGACCTTTATGTGGAGGCTGAGAAGTGTGATGTTTCTGTAGTTGGAACACACTTCGGTCCCACTTAGTCAGAATGGAAACGATCACCTCAGTTGCCCAGCCGAGAGGCACTGTCCTCAACCTCCATGCAATGTTGAAGAAGCGTGTCAACCAATACAGCCCCACCTAGTCAAGAGCCTTGAGGTACTGAGAACCTCAAGAATCTTATCACAAAGGAAGGTGTGTTGGTGGTATTAAGAAGATCCCTAAAGTATTTATTCCACCATCCTCAATTAAGGTTAACATTTCCACAATAAACAGTGTTGGAGAAGTATTTCTTCCCCTTCCTAAGGAACCTGACAGTTTGTCAGTCTCTTTGAAGTAGTCTTCCAATAATCTTCTTCCATGAACTCTTTTCAGGCCTGAGTTTTTGATTCCTTGAGCACCACTATTGTGTGCTTGGCCTGTCAGTACCTTTAAGCTGCCTTGAGAGTTCCACAAGCCAATCAGGTCTGTAAGGGCTTCTTTTTCAGCTTGATGACATCCATTCCTTCTGGTGTCCATCACCTGCACAACACTCCCCACAGCCACAGCTTCTCTGCATAGAAAATGGAGTTAAATACCATTGTTCTCAATGTCTCCAGCCTCTTTCAAGATCTGATCTGGTCAAAGTTTTTCAGAGGTTGAGTGTGCAAACTGTGCATGAAGGTGAGATGGACTATTTCTAGTCTGTACTGTTCAACTTCCCACACAAGACTCAGACTCCTTTTGTTCCAGTGAGGTGATATGTCATGTCCCAAGGTCATTCATGTGTCCAAAGATCAGGTCATCGTAGCCTTGACTTTTGACCACTTCCCAATTCACATTGCACTGGCCTCTTATGGTTGTTCCTGCAGGAGATGGTGCCAAGCCACTCCTTCAGGCCTGACTTCAGGGTGAGGCCCCAGTTGTGCCATACAGGGCAATGTCATGGCTTTCAATTTTGTTTTTCTCAAAAGTTTTCAGTACATATTCCTTATATTATTGCAATCAATTAGAATAATCAAAAGAAAAAGGAACAGTCCAATAGGGTGTGAGGGTCAATATCATGCACTATTTGAAAGTGCGACATTCTGACCTGTGGTCAAAGAAGTGCGTGTTTAAGAAAGTAAGATTTTCTGTTTTAGTAAGTTCTTTAAAATATATATTAGCAAGTTTAGAAATTCTTTTTTTTTGTTGTTGTTGGGTCAAAGCAATGTTTGTGCCATAAGGGATACTTTTCATAAATGTTTTTTTTGTGCTGACATTGTGTTTGGAAGTGATCACAAATATTAAAACATATGCACAATTCATGTTCAAAATAGAAGAGAGGGCAAACCCTTGGGAATTCCAATTTTACATGGAGTGAAATCTCATTGCATGACATGAAACTTTACATAATAAAAGACTTTATCAATTCAATGCATCAATGAATTTCAAATGTTTTTCATTTTAATTAAAGATTTTTTGACAACAACAATACAAATTCATGATGACTGTGTATTAGCTTTTTATTATGGGTGTATTTTCATTGTGGTTCTGTACTTTTATGGCAACAAAAATAATTTTGGGTGGGGGTGTGCAAAAAAAAAAAAAGTTGGTAGTTCATTTCACTGTGTACGACCTCTGATTAATAAAGGGACTGAGCCGAAAAGAAAATAAGCGAATGAATGAATGATTAATTGATTAAAATGTAACAGTAAACAATTCTAAACTTTTATGGATCTTTGTTATCACACACACAAAAAAAAAAAAACATTAAGTAGAAGTGTTTCATTCATTTTCCTTTGGCTTAGTCTCTTATTTATCAGGGGTTGCCACAGTGGAATGAACCGCCAACTTTTCCAGCTCATGTTTTTCTTACGCAGCAGATGCCTTTTCAGCCTCAACCCAGTATTGTGGAAATATAAATGTTTTTAATACTGATACTAATAAACTAAAGTTTCCTGAGCACAAAATCTGCATATTAGAATAATTTCTAAAGAATCACATGACAGTTAAGACTGGAGTGATCAAATGAATTAATTTCATTTTTAAATATATATTAAAATAAAATCAAAACTAATAATACAAATATTTGTACACAATCATACTGTTTGTAATGTCATTTAAATTCAAATTTAAATTCTCCGACTATAGTAGACAAAAACTTGAACCTCATTGACCCCCAAACTTTTTATTATTGCTTTATTATACTCTTTACAGTTATAACATGGTGTACTTTTAAAATTGTTTCAGAAGTTTTGTCCACAGAGATGTTCAGTCACATAAGAAAGAAAATAGTGTCTTTGAGGCACAGAAATGTTCTCTGATTGGTTAATGAGGGTCATGCATTGAATGATGCTTTAATGAAAGACACAATGTTCCATCTCCTCATCACACAGAGCAATGACCAGGACTCAAAGAAACTCATGGCTACCAAATCCAGAAGCAAAAAGCATTTTACAGGTGTTGCTATTTATATGCTAATCCTTAAAACCCCTGTGAAGAACATACGGTTCCCATTACTTCCTCTCACAGAGCGTGTTCATTAAGACCACACATTAGTATAGCCATATGTGAAATAAAATGCATCTGAGTGGCACAGTTGCACAATGAAAGATTGATTTAGGTGTCTGCTGCACCACTGAGGTCGGACACTGTGAAGGGTTGGATGATGAAAGATTGATTTTTATGACTACTTTGCAGCTGAGATTGGAGATTACGACCCAGGAAAGCATCCAGAGGGCTACAGCTCCAAGTTCCAGTTTTTCCCCAAGCACTCAGAGAAGCTGGAACGAAGGATTGCGGAGATTCACAAGACGGAGTTAATGTACGTCTGCCCTTTTTCTTTATGTATGGTTCAGGAATTATGGAAAGGTCCCTTCTGAATTCCCGTTGTTCCTCTGTGCTTCACTTTGTGCACTCTTATAAATAAAGCTTCTGTACTGAGTTTGATGATTTCATGGATTAACATTTATTGAACATTTTCAGTCCACAAAAGGTTCTTTGTGGTGTAAAATAGTTATTTAGATTATTAAATTTTTCTTTTTTAGAGCAGAATTGTTTCCTCTATGGTGTGGATGCAATAATGCACTTTTGGAACCGTTAAAGTGTGAGCCAGAGACTTGTTTTAATGTAAATCATTTTATTATTCATCAACAATTATTTTCTTGGGTTTGTTTCGACATTTGAAGGCTTGCATGTCAGTGAGTCACACTTTACAAGAAAGTTAATACACACTATCTGACAAAAGTCTTGTCGTCTATCCAAGTTTTAGAAGCAGCAAATAATAACTTGACTTTTAGTTGATCATTTGGTATCAGAAATGGCTTATATGAAAGGCAAAGGCCTCTAAATTAAGCTTATTTTACCAAAACAAAACATGTCTTCATTTTTTATTATTTAATGAAGACAGTAAGGTCCGACTTTGTTTAGACGAAAGTTTTGTCACTTAACTAAAATAATAATGTACAGTACAGAATATAAAGTTATGGTGCAGTGGAAACAGAATTACTTATCTTGTGTATGACTCCTGTGAGCTTGGAGGACCGCGTCCATACATCTATACAATCGCTCAAATAACTTATTAATAAAATCATCTGGGATGGCTAAGAAAGCGTTCCTGTATGGCTTCCAGAGTTAATCAATACTATTTGGATTCATCTTCAATGCCTCCTCCTTCATCTTAGCCCACACATGCTCAATAATGTTCATTTCTGGTGACTGGGCTGGCCAATCCTGGAGCACCTTGACCTTCTTTGCTTTCAGGAACTTTGATGTGGAGGCTGAAGTATGAGAAGGAGCGCTATCCTGCTGAAGAATTTGCCCTCTCCTCTGGTTTGTAATGTAAAGGGCAGCACAAATGTCTTGATACCTCAGGCTGTTGATTATACCATCCACTCTGCAGATCTCTTGTACACCCTTAAACTGAATGTAACCCCAAATCATAATTTTTCCTTCCCCAAACTTGACTGATTTCTGTGGGAATCTTGGGTCCATGTGGGTTGCAATAGGTCGTCTGCAGTATTTGTGATGATTGGGATGCAGCTCAACAGATGATTCACCAGAAAAAAATCTACCTTTTCGTAATAATCAACTAGAAGTCAAGTTATTATTTGTTGCTCATAAAACTTTGATCGAAGACAATACTTTTGTCAGGTAGTGTAATCTCATAATAACATTAGCAATATAAACTTATTAATAAAGTGTTAATTTAGAAACATGTGAATAAAACATTTAATGTTTACTGTTAGTTCAGTTTATCTAATAACATGTCAAAGTCAAATAGAGCAATGGATTATTTTTTTTTTCTTCTGAAAAAGTCTTATTTTAGTTTGTCTGGAATAAAAAGTAAAATAAAAACTCCTAAGACAATAATTATTTTCCATAATTATTTAAGATTTTAATCATTATATATTTATTGGCCACAAAATAAAGCAATGTGGTCCATTAACTTCCCTAATTAACCCTAATTAACTAAACTTGCCTAGTTAACCTAACCTGGTTAAGCCTTAAAATTTCTCTGAATATAAAAAGAAGCTTAAAGGTGCAGTAGGTGATTTGCATAAATGCTAACAGGTTAGCATAATATCTTTGAAACAGTCTCTCTCCCCTGCCGTCCAAAGCCACGCCTCCTGAAATCACAAACGCGCTCATTAAAGATAATAGAGACCCACTAGATCATGCCATTCGCCAGTTAGCAAACTTTATAATACTATTATTATAAACTATAATTATAAATTATAATACTACGATTGCAAACAAAAAACTTTATTATATCTAGCACATTTTCAGTTGTGTAGCTAGCAAAACTTGTCATAATGTGCAAAGTGTCATGCATGCAAGGATCATTGCTCTCAGTCTCTCACGCGCTTTGTCCTAAAGCGACTACTGTATGCTTAGTGGTTTGCCGGCATGGTAAAGGAAGTACATTTGAAGGGTTTTGTTGCAAAATGAGATATATCCATTTTGAAAAATGTTGGTTATTTGACATTAATATTTAAGACATCAACAGTCAAGTTCATTCACAATTTTTGTAAATTAAAATATTACTTGAGCTCAGTCAAGGCCATGAACACAGTATTTTCAAAATATTTTTTATTTAATTTTATGTCCATAAATAGTTCATTAATAAGTCAAAAAATAAGCCAAAATGCATCATATTAATCATAACATTGTCAAACATCTTAAATTGGTTAAAAAAAACTATAATTTATAAATAAATGGAATAATTTATACAAAGATTGATTCATAATTATAAGATTCTGAGTTAGTTTAGGCCAGAATGTACACAACATAACATAACTTTTTATTATTATTATTATTATTATTATTATTTATTTTTTTTTTTTGCAAAACGCTATATCCACCTTAGGCTATATTCTACTACAGTAATACCGTTAAGAAAAGCTTGTGAATCAATGTTTTGTTTGATAAGTAAGATTAAGTTAGATAAATGACTTACTTAAAGAGTGAAGGGTGGCTTCATTCACACAGCTGCTGAAAACCAAACCTGTATGTTCAGAGCGGGCAGAGCCGCGGTGTCACAGTTCTCTGTTGCACCCAGTCCGCGACACAAGCTCACCTCGCCCTGTCATATTTAATGAATTATTTCACCGTAATAATAATAATAATAATTATAATAATAATAATAATAGCTTATTTACCGGTTGTTGTGTAAAAGCAAAACCATTTATTTTTCTCCATAACAACCTGTGCCCTTTATGTTCCCTTATAATAAATCAACAACAACAAGAATTAACGTGAGGTTTTAGGCTATAAATAATCGATGCAACTGCATAATTAAATCTTCAGATAGGCTATTCAGCTACATTATTATTACAGAAATTATTTAAAAAATAAACTTACAAAGGACACTTAGAAATGTCGCCTTGCAGACAGGTATCTTGTGATGGGGAGGAGTGCAGAAAAAAAGGCGCTCCCTGGCCTTCCTCTTAATTGACATCAGCGGAGACTCGTTCTCTGCTGCATTTGCGTATTGTTGATTGACGTATTTTATTCTGGTCCACTTTTGTAGCATTTTTATACATTTTTGTGAAGTTGAAGGCTTCATCTTCTATCGCTAAATCAATGAGCAAACTCAGGGCACTTCACCGGCGGTGACTCTCTTCCCAGGGGATGCTAAGCTCGCGCAGCATCCTGAATGTTCCATAACCGTTATATCACACTTTGTAAAGAAACTCGTCTGGCGGATATCACGTTTTGTGAAAAAATAAAATGTATCTGAACAGTGATTTCCAAAAATGTCAAAAAATGGCGTTTATCGCATTTTGCAACCAAACTCTTCACTTATTACTAAGCAATACTTACAAGCTATTTCAAAGTAGCATGGTAAACAATATAGGGACCACGTCACAGGTTGTCATTGTTCAAAAATGACGCAATATGAATATAAAACTAACTTCACCTCAGTAAAGCAGGATAGGCGGAATAGCGCTATTTACTGATGTTTTATTGTTAAACTAAATAAAAATCTACATTATCGATGCTGTAAAAGGCACCTAATGAAACTGAACATAGTCACATCAATCTTTCATCAGAAGATTTTATTGGCTGAACAACACTTCTGTGCATATAATCCACTCATGAAACAACACAATCTACATCAGCTTTGCGTGACTAAAATAGTTTTAAATCATAACATTACCTGTCTAAAAGAAATACTTTCAGCCATGGGAGTTGTCCATCCTCCAGTGTGCAAAAGTAACTCCAATACTGATTCAGGATTTAAAAAAGTTTGATTCAGCATTTGTTTATACTGCTATCACTTTTTTGTGTGCAAACGGCGGATCTGGGTGAACAGAGGTGCGCAGATGTACAAATCTACATTTGTTGACAGACAGTTTGGGCTACTTATCAGAAATATTTGAATGGTCAGCCTGACAAATTCTAATTGGATGAACATTTTTTAGTTTTATGCCTTAAACAGAATATAAAAATACATATAAATACATTTAGATCATTTACTTTAACCAGTATTGGAATGTAAAGAGACTTTTAACCAGCACAACAAAAAATGCTACTGAAGACAATCACCTACTGCACCTTTAATATTAGTATCTTGCAAAATAACTAAAATATTGCAGTATGTACTGTTATAGCAAAAATGAAATAAATTTGTTATTAGAAATAAAAAATAAAAATGTGTGGAAATTTATGTAGCAGTTAAATAGCAAAACAACAATTAGAACTTTACAGAAGAGCTAATAAAGTAGCTTGTATGTTACAGTTTTTCTCAGTCACTTTGATGCATTTCTCACTACACTATTCACATTTGCACAACAGGCTATGCATTTCTCAAAACAATTAGTCATTTGTGCACATCACAGTAGCAGTTTCTCATTCTTTTCAACAAATTGTAGATGCTTTTGGACAAGCATCAATTGCTTTCATACAACTCTCTGCTGTTTATAACATTCTCATTTGCTTATGTCATGTCAGTCAAAATTAAGTAAACTTGTAAATGCTTAATAGTCATTCCATATAAAACTAATAGTCCTCATTTCATTACTTGAGTCATTACATACAAAAATGGTGAACTACTTGTCAAAATCTGTCAAACACATTTTTAAAACAAATTTAAATCTTTATTTTCCTGAAAATGTCTTTAAAATTGAACAATTTGATGAATGATTTACAGACCTGTGTATTTTATAGGCTCAGTTCCAATATGTACTGCAATATTGTTTACAGTTGTGCACAGCTCTACCTAAAGGGAGTTTATGTTTGTTGTAAATAAGGGTGTGTTTAATCTTTTGCACAATGCTGTGAGTAAATTAGGATTGCAAAGAGCAAATGCAGAAAAATGTGAAACATACATATTTAGTGTCTTGTACTCAGATAACTCACCCAATGCAGTGATGTCTCACTTTACTGTAGTTTTCAAATGGCTGTGCAAATAGTATATAGTGCTGTCTTGAGCATTTTCAGGAAGTGTCACCAAAATATGACTTTTTTTGCACTGAAAAAATTTACAGAGTAAACCTGTCATAATGAAAACATGACAAAGCCATTTGACTATCTTGTTCATAAACAATGGTGTCAGGACTTTTCATTTGGACGATACTGACAGTTTGATTGACATCAATACTTGCTTTTGAGGATTGAACTATCCATTTTGAGCATGTGACACGCTTTTGCAGGTTATCAGCTAGTTTTTGCAGTTTGCACTACTTGTTTTGAGAAATGCATTAACTGTTGTGCAAATGTAAATAGTGTTGTGAGAAATGCACCAAAGCGACTGAGAAAAACTGTAAATACCTTCAGAATCATAAGTTCTAATTGCATATAGGTATTTGTTTAGGTGACTTTTTCACTCTCCTTTCTTCTTTTACAAGTACACACATTCACACACAATATGTCATTGGTGTGAAGTGTCAGCTTTCATAATGGTCAAATCTGCTGTCACTTTACTATGGCATAAAGCTGTAGGCCATCAGTGAGCAAGCAGCACTTTCTCTCCAGCCATACAAAATCAAGTCCAATTTGCTCAGCGAGTGCCCTTCCTGATGAGCTATCAAACAAACATGGATTTTAGTCATTTAGTCTATTAATCAATTGTAGGGTTGTAATGTGTGTTTAGAATCATATATGGTCAGCACATAAACATAGGAGGTTTCATCTGGTTCATTTCTGAAGTTGAAGTTAGAGCAGACTACAATAGATGTTTCACCAAACAGGAGTATGATTACTGCTGCCCTCTGCTGGTGTGATTGTTTAATGTTGACATCTGCCCCATTAGTCTTTTTATGGAAACAGTAGTCAACATTTGAAGTTTATCAAAACGTTTCACCAAAGTTGTTTTAAAACTGATCTATTATAGAGACAAAGTCAAAGGAAATATGAAATGTCTTGGCATAATTTAGAAAAATAGTTTTAACCAACTTTAAATGTTGTATGTTGTGCATGCAGAGTGAAGTTTACATTTTCAGAAGTCAATCATGGGTCTGTAATCAGTCACTGTTTTTTATTCAATGTTAAGTCTTACTTGTCTTCTCTGATTTGTGTTGAAATACAAGGCGGGAGGTCTTGTTACATTAAGGCTTGAATGTTGAATGGCCAGAGCTGAATAAAATATGAATTGGTGAGAGGTTTCCTGGAGTGATGATACTTGAACCGTCTGTATGGTTTGCTTTGCTTTCTGTGTGAAGTGTAAAGTGTCAAAATAAATGCGTTTATTCACATTAAGATATGTATTATGTTTCCATACAGATGCGTTTTTTTAAAAGGGACTCTCCAGCCGATCTTGGTCTGATGGAAGCACTTTTAGTTTAGCGTGCCGTGGATCATTGTATCGGTTTAGACCATCAGCCTCTCTGTCAAAAAAAGAAATAGCAACTTTTCATTTTCCGTCAGTTTTAGTACAAGATGGAACTACATAAGAGTCAATAGATCATAGTAAATAGGAAATCATAGTAAATAGAAAACTCTTTTTGTGAAATTTTACAGTGAGATGCTTGTGGTCTAATGCAATTCAATGATTTATGCTAAGCTTAGCTAAAAGTCTCCCGTCATACCTGAAGATTATAGCTGAATGGATTAAAAAATGGTAAAACTCAACTGTTTAACTTTAGGGAGTTGTAAAATGAATTTCCCAAAAAATGGAGTGTTACTTTAAGTTGTGGCGATTAAAAAAAAATAATAAAAAGGATAAAACCACTACCAATGTGGATTTGGTTTAACAACAGTGACATCAGTCCTGAAATGTAATTGGTTGCTGTGCTGATGTTGTGTTTTTTCCACCAGTGATGATGTTTTCTTAATGTTTTGCAGAGGTCAAACCCCAGAGACTTCTGAGCTGAAGTTCTTGCAGAAAGCACAAATGCTTGAAACATACGGTGTGGATCCTCATCCGTGCAAGGTTAGTTGGCTCTACCTTACACTTAAAAAAAAAACCTGGTTCCAGAATGAATTTTGAGTTTCTTAAACTTCTTTTTTGTTGTTGTACAGAGCAGCCTTTCATTATATTATGTTAATGAAACACAGGAAAGATAGTTATTCAGACAGTTTGATTCCATCTTAACACACCCAAAACAATGCAGTGGCAGGCAGCGTGTTTTTTTTTTGCTACTTTCAACCTGGCACAGTTACCATTTTCACATCATGCACCACCACATTGTTTAAACAGCAAATGCATTTGCACCTATTTGTGTGTTCATGCACTGTAAAAATAGCTATTAATTAACAGTTTCTGTATTTTGTGTTTTCCATTTATTTATGGTAATGAATTCCATTATGGGATGTAGCTCTCTGCTCTGTCGACTTTTGATGTTGAAAATTCAACTCTACAGTTTAACAAAGTGACTTTTATTGACATTTTAGTAGTTTTGAACCATAGATGTTTACATTACATGTTGCCTACACTATTGTTGTCTTTTGCCATTTTAGTACAGGGTAGCGCTCCTTTGAAATGAATGTGGGACCAAGGTACAAAGGAGTACTGGCCATCTAGAGCCAAAGATGGGTATTGCTGAAAAAAAGCATGTGCTTGTCTCCCTGTTAAATTTGATCTAATATAATCCCCCCCCTCCTTATTTCACTTCTGATTCTAACAAAGGGAGCGATTTGTTTGTGAATGAATATCAGTTATAAATGACTAGTGATATTCCTGCGTATCAATGTGCATAATATCCACATTTCTTAATTTAATTGATATATAACATTTATAATATTCAATAATTTAAGGTGGACAGTATGCACATTGAGGCACAGGCACTGTTATGTTATCAGGCATCCTTATAAGTTACTTTAAAAACTGTTAAAATCTGTTTAGCCGGCAATAACACAAGTTTCTGCGTCTTGTTGTCATATTTGATTTACATTGTTTGCTTATTTTATCCAACAAAACAGTAAGAGACTGTATTATTTTCAGTGATGTTACTTGTTTAGCACAAAATTTCATAACATACAAAACATAAAAACATGAAATCTTACCAATGAAATGTTATGCCTTGTTTAGCACACAAATGTTTGTTCGTTACTACACCCGTACACAGTGTCAAAGTCCAGCATCTTTACATTGACTTTAGTCTTGACTAGTGTGGTTGAATGACTTTTATCTACTGTACAAATGATTCATGCCCAGGGTCCGTATAGATATCTAGTGTATATATCTATAAATTGAGACAAGATATTAAAAAAATGATATATAGAGAACTAAGTTTGTAAAATAACAGAATATATGTACTGGCAGCTTATTAGCAGGTTTTTGCGGCATAATATACAACACCAACCCAGACAATATATCACTTTAAAATATTAAAAATGTTTATAAAATCACTTTTTCAAACTTTTCAAGGTAAAGTTGTTGGAAGAAAGGCCCCATAATGCAACTCAAAAGCCTAAAAAGTGTGAAAAAAAAAAAAAACATGAATCACAAAATATGTAAAAACAGATATTTTTACAGTATGGGCTTGCTGGTCTGAAGTCAAAATTTGATCAAAATTTGCATACACAATGCTTATTACACACACATGGATGCACAGCAGCACAAATATATTTAAATATAAAAAACAAAAGGATTTTTAATGTAAAAAAAAAAAAAAACTATTGTTATCTACATTAAAATAAAAAGTGCTACTTCTTCCCATGCCTTCTCCATCTCAGAGGGCTTTGGTGGAATTCGGCTCATTTTGTATATTTACTCAAGCGTTTTTTGGTCTGCTTATGATCCATTTATTGAACACAAAAGAACTTTTGGAAAAGTTTGGAAACTGATTATCTGACCAACTACGGAAGTCAAAAACTACAAATTTTCAACATTCTTCAAAATATCTTTTTTAACTTTTTTGTTCAACACAAGAAGGAAACACATAAAGTTTTTTAAATTACTTGATGGTGAGTAAATATTGATTTCATTTTAAAAGTTTATTTTGTGCATGTGTGAACTATCCCTTTACCACTAAGACAAAAAATAAATAAATAAAGAAAAACGTTGCCAGTTGTTCTGCCAAAAGTTAGCCAAAGTAAGGCTGACAATGAAGTATGAAGGCTCAGCTGTGATGCACTCTTGCTGTACTGTACTTTCTCCTCAAAATCTGCTGGCTGAAAAGTGAAGGTGACGTGGTTCTCCTCTGTCTCTGTTCATCACAGGATGTATCTGGGAACCCTGCTTTCCTCGCCTTCACTCCGTTCGGTTTTGTCGTGCTTCAGGGGAACAAGAGAGTTCATTTCCTCAAGTGGTGAGTGACTAATACTTGCCTCTTTTTCCTACTGAACTTCTATTGACGTCTTCGACGCTGAGTAAACACAGACATGCATACACACACATGCATCATGAAGCTGAAAATAATGAGTCATTCTCGCCTAGCGTCGGGCTCTGGGTATACAAGTCACAGCTGGCTTTATTATATTGTATTATACGTTCCCAGCCAAAAGGGCCTGACCATCTGCCTCTTTCTGAGCCGTTAGAGCAGACAGGTGTCCAATTATCCTTCACCAGCTCTCCATCCAGAGGCCATGTTTAAAGTCATCTGGCCACAACAAGTCTGTAAGGTCTGGCCATAAAAAAAAAGGAAAAGCATATAAAATACCGAACTATTGTTCTGCTTGTCCTTTGTCTTGGTGTCACTGTCGTGTTTTGTTGTCTGCATAGACTGTGTATATTTTTACAGTTAAAGAAAGAGTTAAGCATATTTTAGTATATGTTCATGTTCTTTTTTTTAGCAAATGAACACACAGTAAAGCAGTTTAGTGAGTGTAAAAAAGGTTTAATTAAGATGAGCTCACAATACAATTAGTAAACATTTTAGCAGCTTACTGCATTTATATTGAAATAATGAAAAATGCATGATGAATATTTATTTTGTATGTAACTACATTGCCTGTTAGTTTGGGAGTGTTAGATAGATAGATAGATAGATAGATAGATAGATAGATAGATAGATAGATAGATAGATAGATAGATAGATAGATAGATAGATAGATAGATAGATAGATAGATAGATAGATAGATAGATAGATAGATAGATAGATAGATAGATAGATAGATAGATAGATAGATAGATAGATAGATAGATAAATACACAGTCGGACGGACAGACAGACAGACAGATTAATCCTACAACCTATATGCCTTCCTGCAATCAGCTGCGACAAACTTTATTTTTTCCATCCTCTCGAACAGGAACGAAGTGACCAAACTGAAGTTTGAGGGAAAGACCTTCCATATATATGCAAATCAGAAAGAGGTGAGAGCATTAACCATCCCAACAGTCGCATATTCAAAGATAATTTGAATAAACTACCTTATGACAATGACACAATCTCTGACACTTTAATAATTCTTTTCAATGACAGTCCTGTATCAGTGCACCTTTAATAATCGTTTATTATGCACAGGACAAAAAGATCATCTTGACATACTTTGCACCCACCCCAGAGGCCTGCAAGCACCTTTGGAAATGCGGTGTTGAAAATCAAGCCTTCTACAAGTGAGTTTCTTTGCACTTCTCCTTTCGGCGAGACACACTTGTTTGGTTAAACAGGTGAAATGCTTCTGAAAAGGGCAACTGTGAGATAAACAAATCCCGGAAATAATTTGTCCTTTTTTGGCTATTCCAAATTGCGCACACTGTCATTTCCTTTTCCTAGTGCATGATATTTAAGAGCGGTAAATAAGCTGACTAATAACTAATAATGCAAGACAGTTCGTCTGGACACCTGCGTCACTGTTTTTGACCTCACGGGGGTCATCAAATGGAACAGCCACGTGTCGCGAATGACCTTTACTGCACAGGGGATGAGAGATGTGATCTGCTAGCTCCTCCAGAGGGATGTCTGTGCCCATTTCAGTCACGGCTGATTGTACGTGTCCTTGCCCACGCCATGGGAAAGTGTTTAAAGCGACCTGCAGCTAAAGGTAGACCGCAGTGTTACAGATAAGCGGCCAGGTTTCTAAAAGAAGACGCGATATTCACAACACCACTGAGCCACCGCTGCTTTTATGATGAACGCTTTTGGCTGACTGAGGTGACATCTTTGGAATGGAAGTCAGTTTCAGAAGTCATTATGAAGTGTGGGGAAATTCAATTTAGGTGAAGGCAATTGTGCAATCACCGATTTGGCAAAACCCTGAATCTACATCGTATTGCGAATTCATTCCGCTGGGGGCAACGAGAAATGTGCAGCTGTAGGTGAAGTCCCTGCGAAGAGTGGAATTTGTTGAAGGCGAAGGCAGATGATAATTGAAAAGTGGGTTTTATGATTCACATAAAGGCCGTCTTTGGGGAAGGAGATTCCACACCTGGTGATGAAAAGCCTGAATCAAATGTTCGCCAGAGACTGTCTGAGTCAGAATACGTAAGCTCTGCCTGAGATTTCAGAGAGGTTTGCCTGATAGTGTGTGCCCAGTTTAGAAACAGAACCATGGTTACATTAGCTGGTTTTTAATTACAGTTCAAACTAAACAAATTGAATTTGAATGTAATTAAAAAATATGTCAATATTTTATAAATACATAATATAAAATATATAAACAAATTAATAAACCCATTGCTAAGTTTTAATTTATCAAATGCAAATAACTAATCATGTACAGTTGAAGTCAGGATTATTAGCCCCTTTGAATTATTAGCCCCCTGTCTTTTTTTCCCCCAATTTCTGTTGAACGGAGAGATTTATTCAACACATTTCTAAACATTATAGTTTTAAAGTCTTATTTCAAGTAACTCATTGTTGTATCTTTGCCATGATGACAGTTCTAGAAACTAGTATTCAGAAAATAATGTTTGACTTGATATTTTTCAAGACACTTTTACGTATGCAGCTTAAAGTGCCATTTAAAGGCTTAAATAAACTAGGCAGGTTAGGGTAATTAGGCAAGTTATTGTATAACGATGGTTTGTTCTGTAGATTATGGAAAAATATATAGCTTAAAGGGGCTAATAATTTTGGCCTAAAAATGGTTTTGAAAAAATTAAAACTGCTTTTATTCTAGCCGAAATAAAACAAATAAGACTTTCTCCAGAAGAAAAAATATTATCAGACATACTGTGAAAATTTCCTTGCTCTGTTAAACATGATTTAGGAAATATTTGAAAAAGAAAAAAAAATCAAAGGGGGCTTATAATTCTGACGTCAACTGGTACTTTAGACACAAGTACTTATTTATAAACTTCTGCTTATTCGTTGGGTACTAGTACCTTAAAAAAGCAAATAATACTCATTTATTAGATATTATTACTTGTTGGTTAGTACTAGTACTAATAGTAGTTTTTAAAAATGTTTTAGCAAGAACTTTAAAGTGAACTCTACTTTGGCCATTATGGCTAGTCATAACACAAAAGCTGGTCCAAGTAACAATTTTTAATATAAATTAGTGGTTTATCACTGCCTATTATTAAGACATTGGCTGTTTATTTGTGCTAATAAAGCACATATTTACACGTGTAATCCAATGAATAAAAGAATTACATTTCCATATAAGAGCAGGTGGTTTCTTTTGTTGTTCTTTTACATTCATTTTCCTTCGGCTTAGAACTGCAAACTTATCCTGCATATGTTTTACACAGAGGATGCCCTTCCAGCTGCAATCCAGTACTGGGAAACATCCATAGGCTTTGTGTGGACTGTGCTGATGAGAAAAAACAAAAATAAATGTACAGCTAAAGTCAAAATGATCAGCCCTCCCTCCCAAATGATGTTTAACAGAGCACAGATTTATTTTACATTATTTCCTATAATACTTTTTCTTCTGGTTTTATTTTGGCTAGAATAAAAGCAGTTTTAATTTTTTTTTAAAAACAACTTTCAGGTCAATATTATTAACCCCTTTAAGCAATATTTTTTGATTGATTTTTTTGAGCTGAATATCTTGAAAAATATAAAGTCAAATATTATGTACTGTCATCATGACAAAGACAGAAGAAATAAGCTATTAGAAATGAGCTATTAAAACTACTGTGTTTAGAAATGCGTTAAAAATGCATTAAACAGAAATTGGGAAAAAATGTACAGGGGGGCTAATAATTCAGACGACAACTGTATAATTTGTGCTTAGGTTTATTTGCCAACCTGTTTGTTTTCCTAGCAGTCTCTGAAAAAAATTAATATCCATTTAATAATCTTCCTCTGTTCCTCTTCAGGTTGGAGAAGTCGAGCCAGGTTCGCACAGTGTCCAGCAGTAACCTTTTTTTTAAAGGCAGTCGCTTCCGCTACAGGTAAGTTTGGATAGACATGCAAACACACACACACACACACACAAACACGGGTCACTGCCAATGGACCACAGCCCCAGGGGTCCCTGCGCCAAAACCTGCCCGCACAAAACCTGCCCGTCCTCATCATGGTCACTTAGAGGAGAGAAAACCTGCTGCGCATGGAGCCGCTCACAAGTGTTTACTTAATAACACCAATTGTACCAGATGAATGGAGCCATCAGGGCAATTAAACAAACAGCACGATCAATTATTACAGTGGGCTCTCAGGCTCAAACAGCTAATTAGGAAATTGATAACAGTTATTTTCTCACTCCTATGTAGGCATTTGAAAGCACTAAAGGACTCTGTTGGGAGTTTTTTTGTTTAAAGGGAAGTCGTTCAGTGACAGATTGAGAGGCAGAGATTGAGTTAAGAGAAAAGACTCGGAAAGGTTAATTTAATTCCTGAGCTTCATGGAGTCCAGGAGGCCGGCCACCATCTTTCACAGTCACAACCATCATAATTGCCTACAAAATGTCAGTGTGACTGGAACTCGGTGCGGTTTTCTTTTTTTTGCTCGGTGGTTGTTGTGTTGTTTTCTTTTTGCTGGATGAAGATGCTCTAACTATTTTAACCAGAGTGTGAAACTGACACCCTATACCAAACACATGTGCAGGCATTTTTTGTGCACAATGGCTATACGCAAACACACACACACACACACACACACACGCGCACACACACACACACACACACACACACACACACACACACACACTGGATATAGACATTGAATTATTTATACTTAGATACATAATATAATATAATATAATATAAT